TTTTTTTTTTTTTTTTTTGGTATATGGGATCCAACTCGGGTCTCTCTGCTTGCAAAGCAGGCACCAGAACCACCGAGCTAAATCCCTGGCCCAAATTTCCTTTTTGACTTGGGGGCATTAAGAGATCATCCCACATTAGGATAAAACCAGAGAAAGCACTTGCACTGAACAGTGAGTCATTGGTTCCAGATGACAAAGGCATGGCTGGGGATTTAGCTCAGTGGTTCTGTTACCTGCCTCATAAGCTCAAGGCCCCAAGTTCAATCCCCAGTAACCCCCCCCAAAAAAAGACAAAGGCCCAGAGCCCCACAGAATTCAGAGACAGAACTGTTGACCCTAAAAATGGCTGGTGGAATTTCCCTACTCCAGGCTCTCCAGAGTGGTCATCATCTGGGGCATCACTCCAGGAAATTGCCTTGGCCTCAATAAAGGGCCTTTGTGTGCCCTACCAGCGGCTTTCTCTGAAGTCCTGAAAACCCTCCCCATTCTTGGCCCAGGCAGTGAACACCTGCTTTCACAGGTAAATGCCAGGGTGCCTTCAGCACAGCTGTCACCCTCCCCTCAATTTAAACTGAGGGCCCAGCTGGCCTGGTGAGGGCCAAGGTGGGACAGACCCTGTTCCCCTGTGTAGGGATGTAGTTTGACATGACTAGCCATTGACCTCACCCTGATCTGGGCTACCAGGAAATACTGGAAAAAACTTAAACACTAGATGATAAATGATGTCACAAAGATGATCAGTAAAGCATTTCCTGCCAGGCAGCAACAACCCAGACTGTCTTGGAACTGACACTTCACATAGTTTTGATAAAGTCCACGTACATTCTGATTGTCCTTGGGTGACCTTCGTGTAGTTTAGCATATTAGCCTCTTTATTTTGCTTCAGGGTGTGGCAATCCTGTCTGTTGTACCCAAGACACGCTTTGGTCTGTAAGCCCCTAAGGAATTATACTTTGTGCAGTCTTGGATCTCTGCTTCTTCTATCTCTCAGCCTTTTTCTTTCTTTTTTTTTTTTTTTTTTTTTTTTGGTGTTTGAACTTGGGACCTTGTGCTTGCAAGGCAGGTGATGGAACCACTGAGCTAAATCCCTGGCCCTCTCAGCATCTTCAGGACCCCCCATACACACACACACACACACACACACACACACACATATGTATATATGTATACATACATATATTTCTTTCATTCTTACATTCTTTCCCTCTCTACAGGGGCTCACTATGTAGTTCAGGCTGGCCAGGAACTTCCTATGTAGCCCAAAGTAGCCTTGAACTTGTGGCAATCCTCCTACCTCAGTCTCCCAAGTGCTGAGCTTACAGGAGTATACAACCACACCCAGCATGATTGGCTCTTATACACAGATTTTTCACAGACACCTTGGAAGATAGGAGGAAGTAAAAAGCAGGAGGAAGGCCAGGTACAGCCAGAGAGCTAGGACTCTGAGGCCGTCTCGAACTGACAACACCCACCAAACCTGGATCTTTCCACATTTTCCTCTCCATTGCACTGACTTTCTCCCATACCAAAAAAAAAAAAAAAAAAAAAACCCACACACACAACAGGCTAGGCAATGGTGGCTCACACCTGTCACACCTGTCAGCCTGGAGGCTGAGCTGGAAGGATTACTGCAAATTCAAAGCCAACCTGACTTGTAGTGAATTCAAGGCCAGCCTAAACTACAAAATGAGACCCTATCTCAAAAAACTAGAACAGCTCCACCGTTGCTGAGGATGGCAGTGCAGGGGCTGGGGTGGGGGGAGTCCCTTGTCCCTAAAAAATACACTGTGCATAGGTCAGAGAATCTTTGAAAAGTGGAGATTGAATCAGGTAAACCCTGATTCAGGGTGTAATGGCTCATACTTATAATCCTGGCACTCAGGGAGACTGAGGCAGGAGGATCACAAATTCAAGTCCTACCTGGGCAACTCGGTGAGACCCTGGTTCAGAATAATAAAGAAAAAGGGCTGGGAGGGACAGGGATTTAGCTCAGTGGTTCTGTCACCTGCCTCACAAGTGCAAGGACCCAAGTTTGATCCCTGGTACAAAAAAAGAAAAAGGGCTGGGGATGTAGCTCAGGGGTAGAGAACTCCTGAGTTCAATTCCCCCAGTGCCTGGGGGGAGGGGAGTATTAGGTCAAAGTAGTCCTGCCCCAAACTGTCCATCACCTTTCCATTGCTCTTAGAACAAATCCCAATTCCATGGCAGCTGACAAAAGCTCCTTGGTGGGACCTCACCCAACTGTGGCTCTCCCCACTCTGACCTCCTTCCCAGAATCCTGCCTCAACTGGACTTTTTGCTCCTGCAAAATGTCAAGATCTCCTCATCTTGGGCTAGGGATTTAGCTCTGTGGTTCCACTGCCTGTCTCGAAAGCACAATGACCAGAGTTCGATCCCGTACCGAAAAAACAAAAGATCTCATCTTAGACCTTGTCTTGAAAGGAGCTCCTTTCCTGACCTCTATACCTTCAGGCTTCTGCCTCCTCAAGAAGGCCTTCATATAATTTACACTTTGTACATGGTCCTACCACATTTTGTAAGTGAACATTTATGAGTGGGATTCTTTAGTTTTTGTCCTTTTTGTTTGTTTGGTTTACTTATTTATTTGAGACAGGGTCTTGTTTTGTCAGGCGTAAAGTGCCAGTATGGACACCTTCTTAGTTAAAGGTTAAACTCTTCCTCTTGAGAAGACGAGAAAGGCCCAAGGTCACTAAAAAGGCAGTGTTTACTCAGGAAAATGGTCAAAAACAAACACCAAGTGTGAACATTCTAGGTAAAAGAGATAGATGATTCCTGTAAAGATTAACCATAGCCTTACACTGTCACAGAAATGGCATTCCTATAGATTAACTACAGCTCTGTACTTTGTCACAAAAATGTCAGCCTCATCCTGTCAAACTATATGTTCTGTTCCTTTCTTCTAACTGCCGCATTTCACTTCTGTAATTTTGCTTGCTTCCACCCCATTTAGAAACGTATAAAACCCTCTTGTACTCTGAGCTCGGGGCACTCTCCAAGTCGTTATTGTCTGGCCGGACTAATAAAGGTCTGTTTAACACCATTCTTGGGTGCGGCTGGTTTGGTTCCTCTGGGGTGTTGTCTCACTGTTGCTGATTGGTAGTTGCTGATCGGTAGTTCTTCAGAACGTTTGGTTAAGATCCCTGGTGGTCTTACAATTTTATAGTGCAGGCTGGCCTCCAACTGAACTAACAATCTTCCTGCTTCAGCGTTTGAAGTGCCAGGATGTTACTTTTTTTATTCTCTCTTAATCACTGGACTATGAGCTAAGGAGGTAATGGATGGATATTTGTTCCTTGTCCTGCCCAGTACATGGAATAACACTTGGGACTGAATATGTACTAACAAATGTTTGTAAAATGAACGAGTACACAAAGGTAGAGGAATCTTGGAGGCCACTATCTAGGTGGGTTTAATAATCCTTTATTCCTGGGCTGATCCTGTGCTGTTTGCCTGTAATCCCATCACTCTTTGTAATCCTATCACTTGGGTGGCTGAGACAGGAAGATTGCTCTGAGTTCCAGGCCAGTCTGAGTTACATAGTGATTTAAAGGCCAGCCTGAACTGTATAGGGTGACCCTGTCTCCAAAACAACAAACAAACAAACAAAAAAAACACATAAAATTCCTTTATCCAGGCAGGCATGATGGTGAGTGCCTGAAATCCCAGCATTATGAAAGGTTGAGGCCAATAGGATTACACATGTGAACCCAGCCTGGGCAATTTAGCGATTTATTAAAACCATGTATCAAAAGTAAGTAAATAAATAAATAAACAGATTAGGGATATAGCTCAGGGCAGAGACCCTAGGCTTAATACCCATTACCGCCAAAATAATAAAAACAATAGTATGGACCAGGCGTGGTGGTGCACACCTGTAATCCTAGCATTTGGGAAACTAAGGCAAGAAGATCTCTGCAGCAAGAGATCTCTGGCCTGCGAACTGGAAGCCAGCCTAGGCTACAAGGTGAGTTCAAGACCAGCCTTAACTACATGCCAAGACCGTTTCTCAAAGAATCAACCAAGCAAACAAACCCAAAAGCAATCTTTCGTCCAAGATGTAAGATAGCTGGGACCACTCCACCCTTTCTGCAACTTCGGCCAGGGTGCCGTATCTCCTGGGACCTAGAGCCTTCGGACCTCTGTGCTGTCACGCTGCGCACAGCGTTGCCATGGCGCCAGCAGAAGGCTGGTGGGTGTGCTGCCCAGCTGAGGGCAGAGATCTACCTTGGGAAGGGAGCGATGGGGCGTCACGGGCCGCATCCCGGACCTCCCCCGGGTCTCAGTGCGAGAGCTCAACACGGCCACGGCGCTATTTCCACAACACGCTGATCTTTTACTGGAGGAAACGCGAGCGCCGCAAAGGACGGCGAAAGCCAAGTCCACTCCAAGGAACAAGGTTCAGGGGTATTGGCCGGGCCCGGGCCCCAACGTCGCCTCGACCCAGGATCCGAGTTCGGCTGTCGGCTCGATCCCGGACTCCTGCCCCGGCTCGTCCAGCCCCCCGGCC